TGCGAGGGAGAAGGTGCGCTGATTGATGGAGTGTCGTGGTTGGCTGATTGGCAGGATCAGTATCGTTTAGCAGAAGTGCCTGGGGCTGGAGTGTGACTAGTGCAAATGCACTTCTGTGTGAGAATGTGGTGGGATGAAGGCTTGACAGTGATTTTGTTCAGATTATCTACAAGGAGTACAATGACTAGAATGCTTTGACATTTTTTCGGTTTATAAAAAACACTAAAGAACATGCCAAGTGATGAACATTTCCTTTATGTTGGTTTTCTTATTGTATCTCTGCTCTATTTTATGATTTTCCTTAGTGACAGGCCATTTCTTTCCAATATATTTACTGGTGCAGGTATAAATTGCATATGAAACAATATTTTCATAAAGAACAACATGTCACCAACAAAATCACAGTGAAACTAGTATTGGGAAAAGTTTCATAATATTTATTTTAATTAGAATACAAGTAAATCTTATCTTTCCCATTGGAATTTCTTGCCAGCATGGAGCTTGAATTCACAATCCTGAGATTAAGAGTTTCATATCAGTTGCTTCACTGAAAACTGAAATCTGTTATTCATATTACATACTGCAGGTCCTGTCCTTTACGTCATTGAAGTGGTCGGTCTGGTCTCCAGGTTACCAACAATGTTCAGGCATCGCTTATGTGGGGCAGCACATCAATTTGATGATTGTTTGCAGTACAAGCATGGTTCCCCCCCCCCTTCACTCAAATAACATAGATTGAGGGAGTTCTTGTCTTTGGCTGGTGTTCTAGTAAAGGAACAACAATTACAAGGAACAAGTATTAAACAGTTTCAAATGGGAACACATAGCAGACACTGAACACAACTTGGATGGGATTCTAACCTATGCGTGCAGATGTAGTGCCCCTGAAGATGGAAATGAGTAATCAGTCACTTAACTCGTCATTTCCTCATCAGTGGCTTTTAGTGTGAATCTATATAGGATAAACAGTTTACAGTAATACAATATAAACAAAGAAAATAAGCTGAAAGTTACAAAAGGCTTCTTAATATTTTTAATTATATATTAAGAAAATATTCTGCATTATGTCTTATTCAGTCTTCTCCTTAGTGTATTACACAGTTCCGTAAAAAAATCAGAAACACTAAAACACAATCAAATCTGCGATATCTCAAGACTATATTAGTATTTAAAAATGTAACGTTCACTAGCAATATAAATGCAATAGCACTTTGGATATTAATATAAAAATATTAATATATATAGAAAACCAGGAACACTGAAATAAACTGAGGCTATTACCGAACATGAACTAAATTGCTTATCACTAAAACATTCACATTTCATTTAACATGCCAAATACATGGCCTTTATGCTAACCATGAGGATTCGTGCTACTAACTTTGTTCTAATAACTTGATATAACTTAACAAATACACTCAAATCTGACCGGAAAATACTTTTGTCATAATAACAAATCATTGATGACTTTCTGCAAATAACAATTGTGTTTTATACACTTTTTACCTGAAGAGGGAAATTATTAAATAATCAGTCACTCAACTCGTTGTTTCCTCTTCAGTGGCTTTTAGTGTGAATGAGGAAAGGCAACAGGAGCTCCCTCTCACTGTGCTTCACAGACATAAGTAGTACATTATCAATTAAAACTGTCGACTCTACGGGTAGATAACGGATAAAAAGATTGAACAAAATAACATCCCAGTGAAAACTACACAAAATAACAGTGTCCATTACAACCCATTACACAGAGCACAATGGATTAGCAATCATCACCTTTACCACTCAGCCACCTTGTCAGGGCACTGCCACTGGACCAATCATGAGGTGGCACACTCAAGATGATCACCTTTTCCCTGTACTTGAGGGTTACTTTGCTCTTCCACCTGCAATTTCAACATCTTCCTTGGGAGATGTCAGACTTCTGGCCTGTGCTGTGCTTCAGTGGCAGCTGTAGTGGACAACCTGTTGTAAATAGAAAGCACATTGAGGTTCTTGGACATGAATACTGCCAGATGGTTAAAGCTTTTCTCAATAAACATTTGAAATCCTGCGGTGCCTTTCTTCCTGTTTTGTCTTACAGAACTTTTTCAAGAAATGCATACAACTTGTGAAAGTTGAAATCTTACTTATTAGCGCAGAAAGAATTCTGCCCGATGACTAGAAAATCCCAGCAATTTTTTTAAACCAAAAAGCCGCGAATGGAGATGTAGAACAAAAATCCACTTAAGACGATTTTGTCGAGCAGAAGAGGAGTTTATTGAGTAGATGACCAAGAAGAAGTACTCTCCTTACAGTCAGGAGAGTAGTTCTGACAAGAAGAGTTACAGCTGACGTTTTATACACTTACTTGATGATGGTGAACAGTTTAAGTCTCAAAAAGGAAAACTTCAGTTGTATTTGATTTCTACTTGTTAAGCACACTCCACGGTGACTGATCACAAAAGGTATATATGACTGAACTGGTACAGCACCTGGAAATACAGGTAC